ATGTACCCTTGTCCATCATGTGCTGTCCATCCCGGGTGGTTTCCTTATAGTCACTCCTTCGCGAACCGGGTGTGAACCTTTCGAATCGATCTCAACGCCTTGCCTGGCGAGAACGCTGGCTTTGACACCTCTGCAGCGCCGGCTTTGACCAACAGGCGCTCGAAGCGCTTTCAAGACCGAGACGAGCAGCTCGAAGCGCTGGAAGTTGCGTGGGACCCGACTGAAGCGGAAGACAGTATGCTTTATGTCCAGCGCGCATCCGACCGGAAAACCCTTTTTCATGCTTTTGGGTGGGGAGCATCCGGCAAGTCTGCAAGGCCGGAAGCATCTGCAATGGGTCATTCCAAAACTGACTGCCGAGGACCTCTCTCACAAGAGTAAGGCCTTGACGGATAGTCAGAACCAGAGAGGAACAACAATATGCTGACAGGGCCCGGCGTAGGTGTAGGCGCATTGTCATCAATTTGCAATCTATTTTGTTTGTACAGGGAAATCCTTGAGAGAGGTGAGACAGGCATTTCTTATTGTTGACCATATAATATGCCATCCGACGTAATAAGCACGGTGGAACATGACCTAACTATCGATGCCTTCAGGATTGAGTGCTCCTCTCCGTGACCTGGCAGGCGAAAAAGCCAATCGATTCCATGTATTGATCCGAAACTTGAATAGAAGCTCTTAAACAGAACGGAAACTTATAAAGCGTTTCAACGCTTCAATGGGTAACATTGGAACAGAGCGGGACGCCCAACTCCATGTTCCACGCGGGTTGGACAAAAAGGCGTTCAAACGACCTTTGCTCCGTGCCAAGCTGCTGTGAGCTTTGTAGATGAAGCCGCGAAGCCCAGTACATCCACACGCTGGCTAAGATGGCCACGATGGGCACCCCATGCAGCTTGGCTCCACATCTCGATGGGCACATGTTGGATGGGCTTGGCAGGTCGAGCGAGCGCAGAGAAGTCTTTTCCGGATCGTATGTCGTCTGAGGTTGTAGCCGCAGCTGGGACAGCTGTGAAAGGCTCGCCAGCTGGGCAGGTGAAGTAGGCTGCTTTTGAAGTCGATGGTTTGGTGGGTCGTTTACCTTTGGCTGTGCAAGCGAAATGAAAGCATTTGGTGCGCACCACGCGCCATGTTTGCAGCGCCATGTTTGCACAGTGCGGTCTGCTTGTCAACCGCCTTGCGTGCGCAGTATGGTGTCTTGCGTTGCTGGCGCTGGCCTTTTCGTGACATGAATTCGCTTCAAGTTGGTGGCACTTCTGTTCGTTGGAGCGGGGGAAGCCGAATGGGTACAGAAGTATCTTGACGGCTGCAACTTGTGGCCCTTGGTTCCGAGAAACCAGGCCAAACTGCTCGCCCAGATGGAAGGTAACCAGCGTTGCTGACCTTGGGCCGACATATTTTATAGGATTACTATCTGAACCAGAGGTCAAAGCCCCCATCTCCCGTTTTGGATCGCATTTCAGACGTGTGATGGCAAAGCGATGTTTGGCCGTTTTTCACGGCCTGGCCTGAGGCTTTGATGGCCCTGCTGATGTGGCCCATGGTCAACGGGTGAAACCCCACCCCAAGCCCAAAGAAGCCATTGGTTTGGGCGGTCTGCTTGAAAACAGGACGGCTGCGGCGCCTCTTATGAGCTCGTGATTGAAGGCCAAGCCAGTCACAGATCGCCGAGGGACGTGGTGTTTCTTCCAAGACCCTTCGCAGAACTCGAAGCGAGCAACTATGTGGAACTTAGCTGCCAGAAGACCTCTTTCTGTGACAGGCTGGACGTGAAGAGAGGGATCTTGAAGAGGTTCTTTTGCGTCTGTGTTTTCGCTTGTGCTCAAACTTCCACAGATTAACCACCATGAGAACAATGAAAAGAGCCCCCTCCCTCAACCGCGCATGCGGGTTGGTGCTTTTTTGGGACCGACCTTTGTGCATGTTGATCAAGATCTGAGCCAAAAGCATCAATGCGTCCGGGGAGACCCGAGCGGCCAGTCGACGGCTCGACCCGATCCCACCAATCTGTCCCGTCGGCGTTAAGCGGCCTCGCCGATAACATCGTGGCAACGCACGAGTCATGGGAGCGAAGCGAGTTGTAATGGGAAACCTACTTGTAATGGCCTCCAACCGAGAAGGGCCTCCAACCTACTACCGATGGCCTCCCGGGCCCTAATAGCGATGTTCTCCAGATTGCCGGGGCCTTGGACGTGGCGTCCGTCCAAGAACCCTTCTGCAAGCTGTGCATTTCAAGCTTCAAGCCTCAACGGCCAAGTTCTTGATTTGGAGTGTAGCGTTGCAATATGGGGTCAGACATGATGTCCGACGAAGCAAAGCCCCATCAAACAGGCAAACATTTTGGGCCTGGAGCGAGGATGCTGCAGTGAGGCAGAGGCGATTTGGACATGTTGGTTGGTCACGGGACCAGGCTTCTCACTTTCTTTCCGCTTCCAGAAACATACATAAAGTTAAGCTCTTAGCAACCGCAAAAGTAAAAGCCATGCATGTAGATCGACATAGCTGCCTCCACAGTCTGACTGCCCGATGGACTGGTGACTCTTGTTGTGCCCTGAGGTTTCTCACTTGTGAGTTGGTCAGATGGCAGATGAAGAGATCTTGCTTGGCAGGTTCTTTTTCGATGAAGACCTGGAGAATGCTGAGCGCCCCATTTTCGCCGTTTGGCCTCACTAGCTCGAAACCTTTGTTGAGCTGCTCCAGTCGTCGAACCCCCCACGGATTGGCGCCGCCGACCCTGGCCTTTGACAGAGCGGTCGTGCGGTCGGTCGTGCGTCGAAAAGGGTGACGAGTTGATCCGAAGAGCTTTGCTCCGTTGAAAAGCTCCGCCGTCAGTGCGGAAAGGCCGGAGAAACAAAACCACGCCGGTGCGCGAGAGAAAGAAACCCCCAGCGGGGACCCCCCGGTGATCGACCGCGAGACGGTTGAGAGACCTTTGCTTGAGTCGATCGTTGTCTTTTACCGAATGGCCAAGGATGACAGCATGTTGGCCCTGTTGCTCATGGTTGGCCCGTGAGCACCCTTACCTGGCTCACAGCCGGAGAAGTCTTAGACTGGGCGGCCCCGGTCACTTCACGTGGTTTGCGACCGAATGAAGCTAAATAGCAAGTTCTGCAGAGATGGCCTCATGCGTGGCAAGCTTCGATCTCAGAGGATTTTGTAGACTTTCTGTGTCGGATGATGGCCAGCTGGTTGGATGCTGAATTGAAGGAGCCTCTCTGCTTTTGATCCTGCCAGAGGCGAAGAGCAGGCCCTGCTAATAACAGAGAAGGCCGTAGAAGAAGAAAGATCATCACATTTTTTTACTTGGGCGTGCTGCAAGCAGGTAGCTAGATGATTCGCTTCACCAATAATAGGGTCTCTTCTATGTCAAGAATCCAAAGTGTTTGTTTGAGGCATGTGCCTGTATAAGCCCTCCAGAGTGCCCCAAGAAAGCTTTGAGGCCGGGTAGTGGGTAGCCTAGTGGCCACGCGTGTCCAGGTCATTTGGCAGGAATGGATTGCTAACACCGTGTCCCACAAATCTCTTGCCTTCGTCGTGCCTTGCGCAGACCAACCCCTAGTTGGACTGGTGCCGGAACGGCAAGCTGCCTAGCCGGGAAATGTGTGTCTTTTGGTCAGGAGCCATGACAGATTTGTGTACCCTAATCACATTGCAATCTTTCGGCTCTCGTGGAGTGCATCACTCGAAGACCCAGTTCAGCTCGAATGTGATGTGGACCAAACCGTTTACACATTCTGTGCTTCACGTTTCGCACGGAACAATTGCAAACCCACGATGCCAAGCACTTCGTTGGACATCGTCTCACTGCGTGTGACAGATGGAGCCGGAAGAAAAAGTGTCGGGGTCGGATCGCGGTGTTCGAAACCACCTCCAAAACTGTGGGGTCTCACTTCTCCGCACTTCTTCTCGGTGGGGGGGGCCTCGGGATGGCTTCCTTTGCAGTATTGCAGCAATTCTCAGGAGGTCTTAGGAGTAGTACTCAGAAGGAGCCAGGGGTTTAGTCCCCATGATTGGCGCACAAGGAAGGCCTTGGGCCCCCTAACTCTGCCTACCCCTTGTACTAGTAGCTAGCTAGAAGCTAAGTAACAAGGGCAGGTACCAAGACGCTTGGCAAAAACGAAGAACGACCTTCAGTTCGCTCAACTAGTTCGACATCGATCAAGTGCCTCCATGGAGCTTGCCAATGGCTGTAGGCAGCTTAGACGTTGGTGGGAGTGGGAGTTGTGGGTTGAAGCGGGACGGCGAGTTACGTGGGTCCTCGAATGATCAACTAGGTTTATTTATTCTTTTGCAGGGGTATTTTTGTGCTGGTCCTCGGACTATGGTCACAATGGTATATATATATATATTGCATCATGGTCAATGGATGATCGCCCGGTTCACCCAGTTCTTTTCCACGAAAACCTCCTTTTGGTTTGGTTGCGTCCGTGAATTCGTTTTTGATTTGCTTAGTTTGCTTCGCGGGGAGTGATGAGGTGATGGGTGCGCTCTGGTTGGGGCATGCTGGAGTGGGATGACTTGAAAACGTCCGCTTGTGATCATTTGGCCAACCACATTTTGCCAATTCTGCAGATAAATCAGGTCGGCCCCATCCGACCCTCGCCTTGGCGTTTCAGCGCATGGAAACGCCGGTCCGGGCCAAACAGCTTGGAGTCATCGCTTGGACCCGTGGCTTGTGCCGTTTTTTTCACTGAAGAATCTAGTGTGCAAGTATCTACAAGTGCTGGGGCTGGTATATGTGAGCTGGCAATGAGCTGCTTAGATGGACAGAAAGCTTTTGACCAATGCTGATGCATCCTTTTGAGTGTTGTGAATCTCATGTTGGTCAAGAACAGCGTGAGGTGTCATGTTTTCCACTCTTCACCTTCGCAACGAAAACCGCGAATGCCGCACATGCTGCACATCGGCGATGGAGGACAGGCGGAGAACTTGAAAAAGAGATGACCATGTAAATACTCTTTCGCAGCTTGTGACTGAGTCTCGAATGCTTTAGGTTGGTTTAGGGCTCCATCCAGTTAAAGTCGTAGGTTTGCGAGATGAAATCGCCAGTGCAACCAGAGGATCGATGACGTATATGTTTGTGTGTTGTGCCCATATGCCGAATGTGTCGGACCCCTAGAAGTCCCAAGGAAGATGTCGAAAGGCACCTCCCTCAATTGGCCTGCGAACTTCCCAGAACTTCCCAACGGTCCACCGCTTACTGATGCTCTCCTACTTCGCGGATCAATGGTTCACTGGTCATCCGACCGAAGATGCCTGAGGTCGACAGAGGTTGCCAAGCCTGGGCCTTGGCCCGTGGGCCACGGCGGGCACGGAGGCAATCTGCGACCAGGTGAGCCATGTGCGAATTCTGATGTGATGTAATGTAGACTCTTGATTAATAAACCATCCCATTTGGATGCACTCACTTGCGGGCTTGTCGCAACCACGCGGCCCTTGTCACATGTTATGACGGGTTCCGGTGGTAGTGTCCTTGGTGAAAATCTAGGGAAAGGTGCTGTACACTATATATAGATCTACGTGAAACCGAACGATGTGTGCCTGTGTGCACTGCAAACGAGACGGCTCAAGTCACCTACTAGACTTTTCACATTCATGACAAGTGTCCTAAGACCCTTGAATTCCTAATTTATCAAATCAAGCTAATGTCCGCTCGGATGGACAATTGTATCGAGATCTTTGTGTCGGAAGAGTGCATATCGAACCTGCTGAATGAATACATCTGCTTTGGTCCGTTCGACCTCAGGCCAATTCGGCCATGGTGGTGGGGTTGGATTAGGCGGCATTTCAGGGACCAAAACATCTGTATGGAAAGGCGGTTCGTGAGGCATGGTTTTAAGCATGGCATGGATAAATCCATACGTGTCACTAGAATTTTGCAACGGGGGCGTCTGGAAATTCCACCTTCGTGGTCGGAGGTAAAGCCCAGGCGCGTCAGACTGGACGTACCTTGTTTCTTACAGGTTGGAATAATCTTGGTCCTAGAGAATGTCTGAATATGTTTAACTATCCACCGAAAGTTTTCTGCAAGGACACGGAGAGAACGTGCATTAATTGGCAAGAGTTGCACCTTGGGATCATCATATGGCAGTATTTGATAACTTTTGCCATCTTTGATACGGATGGGTGGTTTTCTGTTGGACCACAACATGAACGATATGACCAATTCCGTCCATGAAATATACCGGGGTCCGTAGGTTGTCACGGGGTATCGGGGTGAGGCCATGTCAGGCCACAACAAAACTGCCACACAAGGTGGGTAAGGTTGGTACCCCATGTACTGCGCCAAAAAGGATTAAAAGTCCTCTTCATGTGGGTATTACTAATCAAGAGTCTACATTAGAGGTGGCCCACATACTTTCTGAGAAGATGATTGGACGGACGTGTAGGTCGGGTCTATCGGACCATGGGACGGTTAATGGGGGTCGATCCTTTCCGTGATTATACTGCGAAGTAGGTGGATCTGGGATTTTGTCTGGCCATCCTGGAAGCTTCAAAGCCGATGTGAAGCATCGAATAGGACCCCACTTGGTGACAAAACAAGGGTCTTTGAGTTGACCATGTCCCTTTCAAATTCTTTGTGGAGGACGTTTTGGTTCTGGCAACGTGCAAGCTGTTTGGTGGTTCGATTCTCGTGATTTCAGCTGCAAGGAGGAGAATTACGGATTGAGTAGTGGAAAAATATGCGCGCCATCTCTTGCCGTTGCCTTCTGCCATCCTGAGCCCATCGTTGGAGCAGATGCCGACCTTTTTTGCATTTTTCATTCAGGCTCAGAAGCATGGCACACAAGGAACATGTACAAATTGCCAACACCGTGATTTTTTCTCGGTTCATCTCAGTTCAAAAGGCCGCATTCTTGCACGATCTGTCAAAAGCTGTATTCTTGGGCCCCCCCTTAACTGCTTCACATCGACCATGTGACCCACCACATGGGTCGACCCACGCGGATCGCGCTGAGCGTCCTTGCGGTTTGGACGGTGTTGTCGCCGCGCTGCTCGGCATCCTTGCGGTTGTCCGGGGCCTGGCAGGAGAAGCACTGGGAGTGGGGGCAATGCTTCCCTGACACCACTGTCACGGTGGCTTTACCGGTCCATATTTTGGGACGGTTCTTTTTCGGGTCGCCCATCGATGGTCGAGGTTTTTACGCGATTCCGGCACCGAAACGAGGAAAACGACTTGTTTGGAGTCATTTCCAGTGCGGATGCTGGCTGATAGAGAGGGTGCGCTTTAGGCTGGATCAGTTGGGGTGGTTTGGAGGGTAGGCATATTGTTTCATGGAGTCCCACCGGTCATGTCTGAGCATCTGACCGCCGAACGCTCAGCCCGGAATTCGGACGTTGATACCGTGGCCATTCGGTGGAACTTCGGCAGGACCGCCCGGAGCGACGGTCACCCTTGCCCTTGGGCGACGGAGCAGAGAGCGCCAGAGCGACGTGGGCTCGGAAGGCTCCGGCGGTGCTTCAGACGGAGGAGATCGTGCAAGAGCTCCACGGTGGGCAGAAGGGTGATCACAGAGGATGCCCTGGATGATGTGTTTTTTCTGAAACGTTTTGGAGCCACCACGAGGAAACATATTGGGGTTTGCAAGGTGACCTTTCTTGTTTAGTGTTTGCAAGCGTATGCAGAACATGACTTGACGATTGCTCTAACGATCCTGGTCGTTTTGAGACTTGGCAACCAGACCATGTGAGCGCAACTATTCACAACGCTTCGCGTTCGAAGCCGCCCGCACGGATCGCAACCTGTGCTCTCGAAGCCGGGAAAGTGTTGTCTGGGGTAGTGGGCTGCTCACGGCCTTACCGGCTTTTTCACGGCCAAAGAAATTTCCACGGCCATACCGTTATTTCGTGTCCAAAGGGCCATTTGACCTTCGACCTTGTTTTTGGTGATCAAATGGCCCCCCAGGATTGGTCTGCAGCAACCTGTGCTCTCGGAGCCGGGAAAGTATTGATAGCGGGCTCGAGTGTGAAGAAGCAGTCAGAAGGGGGAGGGGTCATCCGATGGTTGTGGGCGGAGCGCATGCACTGGGCCAGGGGCTTAGTTGAGCACGCGCGGAGCCTCTTTTTTTGCAACAGCGAGCTTTCGTAGAAGGCGCCAGCCGAGTTGTGTTTGGCGAGCGAAGTGAAGAAGTCGGGGTGTCAAGGGGTGGCCCGAGAAAGGGCTACGTAAAGTCTAATTTCTGCGATGTTTGGGGGTCCACCGAATAAGGTTTTTGAAGTTGTTTTGGAGGTGATTCTTTGTGTTTTTTGAGGGGGTGGTGATGCAAGAAATGCAATTAGCATCATTTGCATCATTTGAATGGCAAGGTGTAGTTTTACAAATGCCGATGTGTTGTAGCTTCATGCAGGTGTGAGTGAATACATCTTTGAGAAAGAGAGAAAAGACAAAAGTGCTATAGGCTATACGCCTTCCACATTCATATAATTTCATGCAAAGCTTCAAAGGGTGGATGGCTGCACGTTTCTAAAGGTTATCTAGCGGTACGTGTAGTGATCCAACACCGTGTGGTTGTGAGTTGCTGTGATTTTCTCGTGCTAGGGACAACGAATTCATGACGTTGGTGCGCCAAAGCAACTGGAGCGCGTGCAGGGGGCTAGGGGCTCAGTTGAGGAAGCCGAAAAGAGAGACGGACGGCGCAAAAGACAGATTTGGGAGCTGTGAGGTAGTCTGAATCGGAAACTGAAGTGCGGTAAGAATTTTAAACGGTTTGCGTCCGCAGCAGGAGGTTGGAGCTCGAAAAGAAACCCTGTGCTCTCGGAGCCGGGCATGTCATTGGCGATATGAATGTCAGGTGGCACGAAACGAGGATAGATGTAGATGCAAGGCTTTTTTGGCATGCATGCTGTGAAGGTAAATGTCAGGTGATATGAGAGTAGATCGATCTAGATGCAATGCGAGGTGGGGTGTCTAGCCTTTTGACACACCGGGGCGTGACGGGCGCAGATGGTGGTGCTGGGGCTACGACCGGATGATGCATTGCCAGTATCGGGCATCCAAAATGAGCATGTACAGAGAATTCTTCGCGAAGGTGTACGCAGCACGACAGTGTATGTGAGGCTGCGAGAAGAGCGCGACTGGCATACCAAAGCATCCTCTGCAGTTCCATTTCGAGTGGTGGAGTGTGAAGCACCTTCGATGGATGTCTCTGGAACCTTTGAAAGGGGCGGGAGGTGGCGCCTATGCTTTTATACGGGCTGGTCGGTTTCCAGTGTCGGAGGAGCCCGTGTTGGAAGCGAGCATGATAGAAGATGACCAGTTGTTAGAGACAATGGTGCGCCTTTGCCGGGAGCTGGAGCAGGTGAGTCAAGGCCAAAGAGGAAGGGGCAGAAAGCGTCGCCTCACGACAGCTGCTGACATGGAATACAGCGCAGCCGCACGGCGGCAAGGCCGACGCTGTTGACAACTGCACCCCACGTAAGTTGCATGGCGTCTACGGAGTCTTTTTTGCAGGAAGTCGGGAGGTCGAATGGAGCGGCTGTGCCGAGTCTGGGGGCTTGGTGCACAGTGCCCACAGTCCAGTTTACCGCTTGGATGCGACCAGGGGGCATGGCAGATACGAGAACAGATTTGATTTTGTTGCTACGGCAATTGCAACAAAAAGTTCACTTCGCTGTCCAACATGGCACAGCGCGGCCCGCCAGAGCAGCTATTGTCCGGACACCGGAACACAAGAGGAGCGATGGCGAGCTGGTCGCAAAATTGATCATGCTCGAAGATGTGAATGACAGCCCCAAGCATTGCTATAAGTGGGTGTGCCCTCGTTCAACCGTGGAAGAAGTGCAACAGCGCCAGCGTGGAATGGTCTGGGAGGCCGGTTCGTTGCGCGTGGTCATTGGCATGTCCAATGTTAGAGGCAATCAGTTTATTTTGCAGCCAAGTCTCGATCCGAGCAATGTGCCCGAAGGCACGGATGTTTGTGTGGTGCAATTGACGGACATCCATGAGTACGTCTTTTTGTACCATGCGATTGCGCTGGCTTGTCGCAGTCGTGCGCCGGCTTCGGCTCTGCAACTCGCACATCCCACATTACTGCATTTGTTTGATACATCTCCGCCGGCGCCAGCATTTCCTTCATGGCTGGGTTCTGCCAACATCGCCAAGGTGACACCTGTGTGGAATGAACTTCTAGGGTTGCAACGCGATCCAGTGTTTGAGTTTGCTCAGAAAGTCGGTTGGGGATAGATTTGACTGACAACCAAACAACAGTCTATGGGCCACATCCTCAGCATAGAAAGCAGAAGAAGAAGTCCCGTTGCTGTGATTACTCCGTGCTAGGCACAATTCTCTATGGGCCACATCCTCAGCATAGAAAGCAATTGGTATACTGAACACATACATCGCAAATTTGTAGTACCTCCTTTTGTTTTTTTGCATATGCCGTTGCTGTGCTTGCTCCGTGCCAGGCACAATTCTCTATGGGCCACGTCCTCAGCATAGAAAACAATCGCAACGCTTATCGCACGATCTCCAACGCCCCGCCATTCCGATAAGGTGTGATGCTGCGGGACCATCCGTGCAGCTCCGTTATGTTGACGAAAAATGCGGCGCGCAGCCCCGCATATGCGATTGTTCCTCTCCAAAAAACATCAAAAACCACACGCTCAATACCATTCACCTCATCCAGTCGGACTGGGCACACGACCGAACACATCCACGATATCAATCGTACAGTGTCCCGCTGTTTGCCTAGACGTTTGCGATTTCTGCGATGTCCATAATGCAGTCTCCCCCGGCCGGCATAACCGGCATCGCATATCCATAGTGCAGTGCCCCTTGACTTGCCGAGACGTCTGCGATGTCAATAATGCAATCTGCCCCGACCGGCGTAACCGGCATCGCCAACCTCTGGTCCAATTTTAGTCACTTTTCAAAAACATTGAAAAACACCGCATTTCTAGGAGAAAAATGCCTCCCCCAAGCTAAAGCTTAGGATTTATCTAGCCGGATTCCTTGCGAATTTGCGCGAGCCTACATGACGCCCTCGGCACCTCCGGTGCGGGCGGATTTACAGTAGTTGGAACCCAAGGGACAATTTATCAAAGCATTGTCGGGGCGGGCTTTTATTTGCCATTGATGCATGGGTTGGAAAAGTCATTGGCAGAGCATGCCAGAGCTGCGCATAAGCATGTGGCTGCATTGCTAGCGGCGTCCTTTCACCTTGAAGCGAGGGAGTCTGCGCAAGATTTGGTGGAATTCCTGGCAGATATGAGTTTGAGTTCGGTGCTGCAGAACAACATGAGTCACTCCGTTCCATGTCATAAAAATGACGCACGTTCAAGAAGTGCGCGTGCGCCGCAGACCCTTCGAGCGCATCAAACGGTTTCAGCATGGTAGCGGAGCCGGGAAGGCCATTCCCTAAGTCTGGCTGGAGCTCTCGGAGATCTTGGTCATATGATAAACCCTTCTCAATCGCCTCCGGTCCATTAACTAGGCAACGTCGCCGTTAGCGGCTGTGGGTCTTTTGCACACGCGTGTGCCAACTCCCCGCGAACGAAGCGAGAACTGCGAGCGAAGAGCAAAGACAATGGCGACGCCCTCCGAACCTCACTGGGACCCCGCAAAGCACTCCTAAGCGCAAACCTCGTAACCCAACCCGCCCAAACGAGGAACCTCACTGGAACCCCGCAAGCCACCCCTAAACGCAACCTCGTAACCCAAAACCCCCCCCCAAAAAAACAACCTCACTGGAACCCCGCAAACCGCCCCTAAACGCAACCTGGCAACCGGAAGTTGACAAAAAGTAGCAGAATACTCACAGCCGCTAACGGCGACAATGCCATTAACTAGTGTGGCCCGTTCTCGCACTTAGTGTCAGAGATTTACTTGGACCGGGCCGCTGAGCGCTTCACGAGCTTCTGCAAGCTTGCCCACATCTTTGAGAACCAGATTGGTTTCTTAAGGAGTACCTACTTCCCCAAGGCCAAAGTTGCCCCTGTGTCCGTAGGCGTGGAGTGAAGTTTGAGGGAAAGAAGAAGGAGAAGAACCTGGGCTCTCATAGCCACGGCCTCAGGGGCCAGCCAGGTTGCGCAAACAGCCGCAGGGGCAGGAGGTGGTGGAGGAGATTCGGGTGTTTTGAAGAGGCTTTGGCCAAGCCGATCCCACGTCCAAACCACTTCAGTCCAAGTGACCGGGAGCAAGAGATACTTCAATGGAGGGACTGGTGCAGGGGCTTGAAACAATAATTGGTGGTCGTGGCTAGCAAGTATCAAGATGAGTTTGAGAAGCATTGAGCAGGATTTCACAGTGGAAGCCGATTGCCGTAGCAGAGAGTTAGAGCGCGATCGGAAAATGAGGGAAGCCGGACGTGGATTAGAAGAAGCAGATGAGACAATGGCAGGCGCTGAAAAAGGGAGAGACCTACATGCAAGCGGCGTGCTGCGTCATGTGTCATTGCTCGAAGGGTGCGCTGAGTAAACAATGCTTTCATCCGCCACAGTCAAGCTGAAGGTTTCAGCGAAAGCTGCAAAAATCAACGTAGCGCTGCGGGTTCTACGAAATGTTGAAAAGTGGCGGAGCCGGCAGCCAAGCGCAACGAACCAAGGCCAGCTCAGGGCCAAAGGACAAGATGGTGTTGCTCTCCAAGATGGTGACACTGTGCACGCCATTGCTGTAAAGCGCGAAGAAGTGTATGATCAGAAAGTAGGGCAGATCTTGATCCTGAACCAAATGAAAGAGAAGCTTCTTTTGCCAGTTGTGGAGAAAAGAGATTTTGAATACAAGAACTTGGTGTTATTGAAGTGCTTCAGCACAAAGACCGGTCCAGAAGAGACTAATAATAATGGGGAGCAAGCTGAGAGCTGCGCAAACCAAAACGAGTTTGGGCGAAGTCTTGGGCGGTGTTTGCAGCCCGAGGCCCGAGAGGTAGCAGCCCACGTCGGATGTTAGCGGCAATGCAACTGTTTAAAACGCTAACAAGCCTTGAGAACTAATAATGTGAGCAAAGAAGGGTTCCATGGCTTGCCAAATCACTTCAAAGCAGACGAACGAAGCTTTTTTTGGTGGTGGACACTGGTGGACACGCTGTTGTTGCTGTTGAGTTTTCCATGGTGTACACATGAAAACTGCGATTGAGCATTCATCGATATCTGAAGGTTTTGCAGCATCTGGACTTTGGATGCCGGGCAACCTTTCCTGTGGCACACGTGTGACTTCATATCCACAATTGAAACCATAACATGCCGGATGTATCCAGATGTTGATGTCTACACATCGGATTTATGAGACCAAAAAGCAACCATGAACGTGCATCTGGTGGTTGCCTGAATTCGCCACGGGTTGTTCGCCGTTCCGAACGATTGTCCACGCTCAGGTTCTTCCAGAGAGGCCGCAGGAATCAATCGAGCGGCTGGCGGCCACCGCGTTTCCAAGTGGCTTCCTCTGTGCTGGTCTCGGCAGGTCTTTACGCCGCGCTGCTGCGAAGATTTCTGCGACAGAGGCGTTTTTGGTCTTAAAACCGGGAAGGTCGCCGGGTTCATGATGAGATATCCCAATCCAAAAGCCCAAAAACTGTTTCAACTGGGTCAACCGAAAATATAGTCTATTGTTTAACTGTGTACACAGTTTTGGGCTTTTTAGATGAACGCCCGAACCAGGCCCTTTGGACGGTCTGTGATCTTGGTGCCACGGCTGAGTCGAGCCAGGGAGATCTGCAGTGTTTTGCAGGACGGGCCGTGGATCTGGCTCTCCATTTGGTTCGGATTTGGAGTCTTAAGGGATGTGAGGCAAGTGATCTCAAAATCGATTCGCCTTGCGATCGCTGTTGTTGATGATCCCTTTTGGTTGACAAGGAGAAGAGTCGGTGAATTGGGCATTTGTCGCATTTTTTCACATAGCCTCGACATTGCAATGTTTGCTCCCTACAGCGAGAGTCCAACGTTGCCAAATTGTCTTCCTCCAGCTTCAATTAAGAGACAACCATGGCTCTTCCATTAGACTGCCAGATTTTCATGTTGATTCCTCACCTTTCTCCTGGAAAGAAGTTTCCAGGCACAAACCACAGTGCCAACAACGCCTGCCTGCACGCCAGCCCGCAGTTTTCGTGGCAGGAGCAGAACCTGAGGCCTCTCTTGATCTCGCATGAGACACCGTGCTCCTTCAATGCCTCGGATCAAGTTCTTGTATGCATGCATCAGAGTAGCGACCACCTTGCAGGACGAAAGACGGTGGAACCGGGGGGTGGGAATTCATTTTTGCGACCGAGTGGGAGGGATACCTATCAAAAAGAAAATTGGTTCCTATCAAAAAGGCATTGATTCGCAAAGAAGATTGCCCCTACTCCTTTGGTCCTGGTCTGCTGGTTCCCTGGTCGCTTGGCCCTTCGGTCCCTTTGTCCTGATCCCTTGGTCCCCTGGTCTCTTGGTCCCCTGGTTTGTTGGTCCGTCTGGTCCCTTGGTCCTCTGGTCCCTTGCTCCTTTTTTTTTAGGTCCTCTGGTCCTTTGGTCCTCTGGTCCTTTGGTCCTTCGTCCTGGTCTTCAGGTCCTTGAGTCTGTACTTTCGAGGCAAGACGCGTTCAAGGTGATTTGGAAATCTGGTCATACATCCTGTGACGCACCGTAGCAGACCTTTTGTCGCCAGACATAGCAGACCTTTTTTGTGAGCCACCCTGACAGTAAAATTTAGACGAAGAAAGTGCCATTCCAAGGTGGCAAACCTTTTGCGAGCCACCTGAGGGCAACATTTTGAAGAGGAAGGAGCCATTCCAACGTTGCAGACCTTTTGTTAGCCTTGCGAGGTTAAAACTTAGAGGAAGAAGTTGCCATTCCAACGTAGCAGGCCTTTGTTTTGTGAACAACCCGAGGGTAGAACGTGCTATTCCGACGTAGCAGACCTTTTGTGAGCCACCGGGAGATAAACTTTAGGTGCCACGCCAAGGTAGCAGACCTTTTGTGCGCAAAATTTAGAGGAGCAGTAGACCTTTTGTGACCCATGTGAGGGCAAAATTTACAGGGGCAGACCTGTTGTCAGCACAAACTTCAGAGGAGGAAGGTGCCATTCCAACATAGCAGACCTTTTGTGAGCCATACACAGGTCTTGTGGTTTTGTGAGCCATCGTGAAATTCAGAGAGATCACGGTTGAGATGCAGAGAGGTCTACATCTACAAAAATCCAGAGGCCTAGAGATCCAGACGGGTCCACAGCGTTTTCAACTGTTTGCCGTTGGCTTGAATGTTCGGGCATCTGGAGCTTCGACAAAGCTTCCACCTCCACGAAGTTGGACAAGGCATCCATGCTGCGGCCTGATCCATCCAAGTCCACATCCATGACTGCCTGCTCGGTTCCAGAAGCCACGATCTCCTGTCTGCAGGTGTAGAGGTCTAGAAACCCACAGACCTAAAGATTTAGAGGTCTTGAGTCTTGAGACCCAGGGAGGCATTGAAATCTAAGTTCTAGGGGTCTAGACTTGCAGAGGGTGTAGAAAGATGTTCAGGTCCAGAGATATCAAGAGCTCTTTTCACAGGTCTTGAGATCCACAGAAGGTTCGCAATCGCTGCGCTTGCCACGAAGTGCGCGCTTATGGACACAGGTTCACGCAATCTGCACTTCGAGGTTCACGAAGTGCTGCGCCTGCCATGAAATCTGCAGTTCCAGTGCACAAAGTGCTGCGCCTGCCACGAGCCCTGCAACTGAAGGTGCTCAAAGCGCTGCGTACAAAGTGCCACGAAACCTGCTACTGGAGGTGCCCAAACTGCTGTGCCTGCTATAAATTTGCACTTCCAATGCACAAAGTGCCGCTCCTGCCACGAAACCTGCTACTGGAGGTGCTCAAAGTGCTGCGCCTGCCACGAAATCTGCAGTTCCAGTGCACAAAGTGTCGCTCCTGCCACGAAATCTGCTACTGGAGGTGCTCAAAATGCTGAATCGCCACGAAATCTGCAGTTCCAGTGCACAAAGTGCTGCTCCTGCCACGAAATCTGCTACTGGAGATGCTCAAAGTGCTGCGCGCGCCACGAAATCTGCACATCCAGATTCACATCGCGCAGCGCTGCCAAGGCGGTTTGCAGTGGCAGGCGCAGCTCTTTGTGAGAGATGTTTTGTTTTTGATACAAATTGATTTTCTTTTTGATAGGATATAGAAATTTCTTTTTGCTATATATTTATTTTCTTTTTGATAACCCGGCCCGAGTGGGAAGCCTCGACTTGGGTCATTGGGTTGGTGAACGATGATGAAAGAAGGATGTTGGCAGCAATTATGTTGACGGATCATAGGAAAGATCCAAAATATGTGTTTTTGGTATGCAAGATAATGCTGCACTTCTTCGTTGACCAGTTGTGGAATATACTTTTTGGGTGGCTTGACACGCATTGGAAAGAGATGTTTGGTGGTGTTCCAACAGTAGTTGAAAGGATGATGCCACCAAGCCACTGTTGTGCAGGATTTCACTTTGATGTAAAAATCTACGACGAGGCTGAGTCCTTGCAACGGCCCACGAAGACCACGAACAAGCTGAAAAACATCCCTGCAAAATTTGTCGGTGAGTTCTCCTTCACATTTGGTTCAGCAAAGGTAGACTACAAGTATTCTGTTCAGAATGCTTGGTTTGAAGGCCATCTTTCCCCAGTTCAATGCTTTGCTTTGCCTCTGGCTGCAGATAGTGATCAGCGATTGACTTGGTTGGCTCATTTCATTCAACAGCAGCAACAGAATTGGTCGCCAATGCTTGTCTTATTCTACCAAACGGCTGCAGCCAGAGATTTCGCGCAACGTTTGCAAAGCTTGGGTGTGTCAGCAGAGGCTTGCCTTCCTTCCACCAAGCGCAAGGGGGAGGGCTCACTCTCCAACGAACGAGCGCGAGCTGACGTGATGTGCTTGGCCAAAGGCCGTGCGGCGGACTTTGCCCTCACGGGGCTGAACACGGTGATTTTGGCGGAACCCACGCGCCGGCCCAGGTCCTTATGCTATATGCAAAGGATGATGCAAGCCCAGGTTGGCCGCTTCATGCCCATGAAGCTCATTGAGGTCATGGATGGAAGGAGTAGAGCCAAGATGACGGCCTACCATGCTCACTTCTCGCATACTGTGGGCTGGGGCATCGTGGATACTGTGGTGGACGCGGACACGGGGGTTCCCAGAATCGGTGGAGGGCCGCAGCTCTTGGATCTCTGTGGACGTCGCTTTCCCCCTTCGCCTTTGAACCTGCAGCACTTGCTGAAGTCACAGGTCGCCCCTCAGGTACGAAGCTGGCTCCAGGAGCTGCATGCTTGGTTGCAGGAGCACCAGCGGAAGCCTCGCCAGTCAGGAGGTTTGGTGGAAAGACTGCAAGAAGCTAGGCGAGGTTTGCAGCAAAGTGGGTCAAAGATTTGGGAGGTGTATGTTCTCAATGGTCTTTTTCCATGTTGTTTTTCAGTTTAAGGATGTTGAACGCCTTAGGCCTTACCCCGGCTGGTTTTGTTGGTCAAATCAGCAGCCTCTATTGGCCACAGAAGGTATACCTTAACTCTTGCACGTTTACTAAGCTCTCTTGTGATTAATCATTAATGTTGCTTGACTCTGCCTGAGGTTGCGAAGGGCCTACCACCACTTGCGTGAGAATGTGCTGAATGAAGAAGAGATCAAGGTGGGTGAGCGTGTTCCGGAAAAAGACCCAACCCACCCACAAGTGCTTGCTTTGGCTTTTCGGGGTTTGCTTCCTGATGCAGGTCTTGGCTGCGTGCGCAGACTTGTTGGACAGTGAGGTGCGAGGCTGGATAGAGAGTTTGGCTCGCTGGGTAGAGGATGGAAGCAAGCTTCCGCAGCAGCAGAGTGAAGATGTGGAAGAGAGGAGGCAAGCGATTCGGTGGATTGCAGCTCAAAGATCCTTGTCTGATGCTTTGGTGACTTTGGTGTTTTATGTCCCAATCTGACAGGCACATGCCGAGGCGAAGGATAGAGGTCTTGGAAATACTTACCAACGGAGAGATCACTGATCATACTGATCACTGGTCACTGGATCTTTCATGATCTTTCAAGTACGGACCAAATGCCCTCAGGTGTTTCGCTGGAGGAAAAGGAATGCAGCATTATATCTGGTACTTGATAGCTCAATCTGAGTGTGAGGGTATTATGAAAAACATCTCTAGACGCGGGCTCTACATGCTCCACTCTGAAGGCGGTGTTTTCTCACGAAGTTACTTTTTTGGGGGAAGGTGGACATTTAAGCCATTTCTCCCCATGCGGCCGCACTCATGAGGATGCTTGCAGTTGGGAAAGCTCACAGCAGCAGAGCGACGGCTTATGGAGCAAGTGCAAGTGCAAAAAATGCGCCAATGGATTGAAGACCTGTGTGCCTGGATGCGAGCTTTTGGCAGGAAACCCCGGCAACGATCTGAAGATGCAGAGGAGAGGAGCCGAGCGAATCAGTGGAAGAAAGTGCAAAGATGCTTGGAAGAAAGCAAAGCTGTTTTCTTTGTAAAGAGGTTGAAGGGACTCTAAACGACTTCTTTTCTGCCTATGTGTTGCCTGGAGTTCAATTGTTGACGGGTGCAATTCCCATCGAGAGAAGCTGTGAACGCTCATGAATGCAATTCATGCAAATGCTGCAAATGTGTGTGTGCATGTGTTTTCGCTAGTGAAAATCCACAAGAGGGATGAGTTGCTGTTGTGCTGTGTTCTAAAGCTATATCAACAGAATACTAAAGTGTGTCCTGTCCTGTCTATCTTTGTCTACGGCACTCAAGCCTATCAGCTTAAGGCGTGGAAACATCCTTGATACAAGGGCAAAGTCATGGAGGGTCAAGTATCATGCGAAAGTACACTAAGTACACAAACAGGATGCATTCTGTTTGGTATTTCCCTGATGCAATCACAATTTCCGAACTGTTATTCCAACCCTTTGTTCCACAGGATATTGGATCTACAAGGATTCACTGTTAAAAAGTCCGAGCCAAACGACTAAGTCCTTCTTGAGGGACAAGACTCATTTGATTCAGTGTGGTTAGGCTTGAGGTTTGATGTAACGCTGCATGTGTCAGGATACTTGCGTTTGGGAAAACTCACAGAATCTGACCAGCAACTACTCGAAAGATGTGCTGAGCAAGTGCAAGTTGCTCACGAACCTGTTCGCCTATGGATCCAAGAGTTGTGTGCTTGGGTCGAAGAAGCAGGCCGAAAACCGCTGCGCATGTCTGCAGATGCAAATGAAAGGTCGCAGGCACTGCGTTGGAACAACGCGCGGAGACCCTCGGCCATACAAAAGCTTGCCCTTTGTTCCTCAATGTTTCCTAATCCTGAATGATTCAATGACTGCCCATCACGCAGGGCAGTTTCTTGTTCATGAGAGCCGCCACATGGGAGCTACAGGTCTTCTTAATCCAAATTGCTAGGAATTCATGCGTCCTTTCAATCCAGCAACAAGGTTGAGCCAGACTTCCGTCACAGACGCCACTTTTGTTTTGAGCGTGATTCTTCATGAGTTCGTAAGCAAAGGAAGGTTGAACAAACACGAACGTGGAGCACTGTTTGTGTGGCTTTGGGAGTACGAGCCAGGCCGAGAAAGGGCGCGGGGTGATAAAGACATTCGCCGCGGTCGCGGTCAATTCCTCAAGTAATTATATAGTAATAGGTGGTTTATTGTGGTTTGATTTGTGATGTAGTACATGCTCACATGTCAGGATACTTGAGCTTGGGAAAGCTGACAGAAGCTGAACAGCAACTGTTGGAAAGATGCGCTGAGCAAGTGGAGCATGAATCTGTGCGTGAGTGGATCCGAGATTTGTGCACCTGGGTGGAGGAAGCAGGCAGGAAGCCTCGATCCAGTTCCGAAGATGCAGAGGAGAGGACCCGGGCGGGTCAATGGAAAGCAGCACAAAGATCCTTGGTGATGCTTTCCGCATCATTTTCATTGCTATGGGTCCCCATGGTCCCCATGGGTTCCATCGAGCTCAGTCTAATCAATCTTTTGGGGCAAAACAATCACAACAACCTTCCTTGCGCTCTTTTCGCCGTTTTCATCTCGGTGCAAACCGCCAACGCTGCTTCGTTTGGAGTCCCTTACACGAGTGTTCGTTGGACCTGCACGGTGCAACCAAGTCGACGTTTGTTAAACGGTCAAGGCAGGACCGTGATGGAGCTGATCCGAATCTAGTTCGACCTGGTTGTTCGATTCACAGTCAACCATCATGCGCATGATGTATTGGGAACACTGCAGGCAGTCAGTCAGTCAAC